AGCTCCACCATTGGTATACGTCCATCATAATGCTATATAACGCTAAGCCCCATCATTGGTATGTGTCCACCATAAGGCTATATAACGCTAAGCCCCACCATTATGTCCATCATAAGGCTATTCAACACTGATATATATCCAATATAAGACAATATAACATTAAGCCCCAACCTTTGTATGATCGTAATGTTATGTAACACTAAACCCCAACATTGGAATATATCCATCATAAGTTAATATAACACTAAGTCCCAACTTTGGTCTGCGTCTATCATAAGGATACGTAAAGGATACATAAGAACAAGTTCCACGCCGAGTCACGAAAACCTGCAGGAAACGTATTATGGAAGAAAACTTATAACAAAAGCGTGTGGAAAAATTATACTATGTTAATAATTATAATCTGTATGCGTTCTTTAACATTTCACTGGAATTCGATTGACAATATGAAGTGACGCATGTTCAATCACAATGAGTTTGGGCTTGTGTGGCTTTTTGTCGGCGGGCGTTTTTTTTTTTTGTTTTTTTTATCATAATACTATTATAGAAACATGCATCATATTTTAGTGCATGTCTATAGGTAGCATAATTCTGTCATTGAGTCAACTGGCGTGGTTTCGATTCCCAGGAGTAGGGTCGCCTGTCCAACCAAGTGGGTTTTCTCCGGGTCCTCCGGTTTCCTCCCAATGCCAAAGCCCCCTAGCGAATTATTGAAATAAAAATTCAACTATGTGTTAGTCCCGAAATGACCTAGTTTGTGTCGAGTGGACGTTACCCTCTCTCTCTCTCTCTCTCTCTCTCTCTCTCTCGCTCTCCCTCGGTAGAGTGGTTCACAGCCTCAAGTATGTTGCTAATCTGACCTTCTCTTGTCAGCATGATCCACCATAGATCAGAATTCTCGAATGAAAACTATTCACTGGCTGATAAGGGGCATGAAAAATAATATCATTTTTTTTTTTAATATTTACCCAAGTCAACTTTAATATAATTTGTTTTTTTTTTATATAATTTCACCCAATTCAATTTTAATTTTCAGGTCATTTGTAATATAATTTGTTTTCTTATAATTTTCACCCAAGTCAATTTTAATATAATTTGTAATATAATTTTTTTTTATATAATTTCCACCAAAGTCAATTTTAAGATAATTTCTTTTTGATAGTTTTCATCCAAGTCAATTTTAATTTCCACCCAAGTCATCTGTAATATAATTTGTTGTTTTTAATGTTCACCCAAGTCATTTGTAATATAATGATGGGCAATTTATGTCGGACAGCGGCATATTCTTCTCCGAAATCCCGTTGCTGGTCTTGCAAGTACGGGGGGAGGGGCTTTCGGGTGGGAAAGTAAACGTGCAGGGGTCGACACAACCTTAGTCGGGAGCTGACCGTGAAACGCATTGAAATGAAATGAAATGGGGAGTTTCACGTCCTACTGTTCTGCTCCGACTGAGCTATATGAAATTTCAACTGTCAAGGGTTATTTTACATGCACGCCAATGTGCACTAGGGACCTGGGTAATGATATCACCATGAACCCATCATAGCCAACTCTAACGAACACCCAGACAACAAATAATAAAAAAAAAAACTTGTCCTATGTGCACTTGTAAATGATGGGTCACATGCATGGCTCTTGACCTTACTACTGGACACAAACAAAGAGAGCATTGCCATGAAGTCAAAGGGCCCCTTTCCTTATACTGGATACAGCGGGTGCCTTTTCTTGGACTTTGGGTCCCTTTTCTTGGACTGGTCCTTCCTTTCAGTTTAATTCTTGGAGATTTTCACAAAATTCGTTTATTTCACTTTCCAATATATTTATATGGCAAATCTCCCCAGGGAGGTTCTCACAAGATACTTTTATTAAATTTTCAGTATAGAAAAGGGGGGCATTGCATCATAATTCAAGTGACATGGTTTCGATTTTTAGCTCGTACGTGCAAGTCATCATGTTATAATATAAAAACTAATAAAGATTTTTATATATATATATTATAACATGATGGCTTTCTATGTCAACACAAGTAGGCCTGTCAACGCATCAGAGTCTGAAATAAGGCTTGTAAATATATTTGATTTATACTTTATGGACTGAAATTATTTTCAGCTTGTGGTCCCACTGCGGTCACATTTTTTATCCGATTTAGAAAACGTTCGAATATATCACCGTTACACCATAATGTCAGTTGAGTTCGAATTTCGCGAAAATCGGACCTAAACGAAACTGCCGGATAAAATGACCGCTCCTTGTACACATAGAGTGTAAAATGTGTAATACCAAGGTTGTGGACCCTCTAGAAGTTTCAATTTTGATCCGATTGCGATGAAACCTGAAATGTATGTTTATAAATCTTCCGATATTCCCGCATATCAGACTGTAACTTCCTGCACAATGGTGATAGATTGTACGAAAAATTGGGGTTTTTTTAGCTTGTGGATTCTCTAGATGTCATAATTTTTATCTGACTTTAGAAACCGTTTAAAAATATCATCATTCCGCAATAATGAAGGTTGAATTAGAATTTCGGGAAAATCAAAACGAAACTGCCGGCAAAAGGGCCTCTCTTTGTACGCAAATTGTGTAAAAGTATGTAATTCGAAGGATGTGAACCCTCTAGAGGTCACAATTTTTATCCGATTTTGATGAAACTTAAAATATATCTTATATACCAAAGTCCCGAGTCCCTTTCGATATTTGCGCATTTCAGACCATAACTTTCTGGATTATGGCCCCTGATTGTACGAAAAATCGTTTTTGTTTATCCCGTTCTTTATCCATCTCTTGCAAAATGTTGGCGTATCTTGTCTGGCAACCACTGTTTATGTTAATCGGAATATAATGTGGTCTAATCTAAATAGTATCTAGATTTTAAGGAAGATATTTACTTAGTTAATATACCAATGACAAATATCGTCTTATAATTGATAAAATCTAGATTTTGTATTTAGATATTGTCAGCCAATGATTTATTGTCAAATTGCGAGTTAGTAAAGGTTTTTAAGACAACCAGAGTGTTTTTGTTAACATCACAACCTACAGTCTAGATGTTAACAATAAAAATTGATATATTATATCAAACAGATTTTAATCTCGATCAATCAGTGTTTTATTTTCAATTTTTATGTATATAACTTTGGCTTGTACTCCAATGTTGTTTAGTAGCATAATGTGTATGCATGTTTGTATAATTATAACCTATAAAATATACTGTATATTTGTATCCATTTTACTATATTTATATAATATTTGTTTGTCATTTTAACTGTTCCTTTGATATTTTAACCAGTATATAGGAGAATGTACGCTTTTCTTAATGAATCCTATATATCATTTATAAAACTGTCCATTATTTATTTTGATGAAACTTAACATGTAAGTTTATAAACCAAAGATTTCGATTCCTTACGATATTAGCGCATATCGGACCGTAACATCCTGGATTATGGCATCTGATTGAACCAAAAAACACCCTTTTAGCTTGTGGAACCTGTACAAGTCACAATTTTTATCCGATTTTAAAAACCGTTCAAATATATTTCGTGAATTGGTTTGTGCCCTTGGTCCTGTGTCACTGTCATTTATATCAGAGTATATATTATATTTCAAATCAAAATTTGGACGTCTAGTATCCTCCATATTAACCACAGTAAGAATATTATCAATATCTAAATCCTTTTTGTGAGCATCCTTTCCATCACAATTCTGACGGCTATTATCCCCCATAGCAAGAACATCGCAATGTTTACGGCTACTATCTTCCGTATCCAGTACATCACCAAACGTAATCAGTATCCAAATGTTTATCACAAACATTCCCATCATTAATATTTGTTTTAGACTGTATTATAAACATGTCCTCTCCACTTGAAGACATCTTGCTAAATGAATATTTTGGACTGTCTGTGTATGCTTCTTGGATTATAAGACTGGAGTGTTTTGTCATACGCATTCATCTTCATGTAAATGTTGTTTTAAGAATATATGCATTATTTTGTGACTTGCTCTTTTTTAAAACTATCCATTATTTATATCTCTATGGTGCTCTGTTTTAAGTTTGATAATAGCCTCAGACCCTTGTTTTTTTCTATTTACATAATGGGCAGTCTTCGGCAATTATCCATCACATTTTGGTAAAATATTGTGTAAATATTATTTAGGGAGAAGGATTTTGCATAGTCTAAGCCTGTTCCCCAGTCCCATTCAGATATCCAGGGCCGTAACTAGCTCAGAGCAACGCGGTGGTGGGAAGTGTTCTCAGGGGTGCTGTAAAATTGAGGGACAGTGTATATCTATTGTTTTTATGGTCGATAATTTTTTCACAGGGGGGCGAAACGTTTGGCAGGGGGGAGTGAAACGTTTGGCAGGGGGTCTTCGCCCCCCCCCCCCCAGTTACCGGCCTGCAGATATCCCGAATAAAAATATTGGATTCAACGGGTTGAATTCGTATAGAAACCACCTTCAATCTAAGGTCCCCGAAAATTGGTCACGAATTTAAAGTAACTAAATAATCAGAATATGGCTCATGACGTCCATCTTAAAATTTCCACATGGGTGCCAGGTTGACATCTGAATCTACACATATTGCAAATATAAAATCCATCAAAAACATTAAGTGGGATGTATTTCCAGGTTAGTCAACCAGCTGACCGACTATATGGGCAACGTTATTAAAATAAATACTGCATAATGCATCACAAAGCGTTTATTTACATTCATTAATTTCAATGATTGTCCCATGCATAAATGAAATCTTTTAGTGCATGCTATTTATGTTGTCATACAAAACAATGGTGTATAGTTTAATATTTATTATCTGTTTAATAATCGACTGAGGGTCTTGAATCTTAAGTAAATATCATGTGGACCATTCTGACACTCAAATCTTTAATGTCTATTGAATAATTTTCTCAGTCCCTCAAATCGTAAATAAATATGTGGACCATTCTTAGTAAAAAAGCTCTCGACAAGAATTGTCAGACATGCCAAAGTCATCCCAATTAGAATTACATAGAAAGCACTCTGAATATCAATTAGTTCTACAGTCTGAACAGAATTCGAATCATCCACACACGTTCCTGGTTTAGGCCACCATTGTCGTTGTAATATTTGAACTAATCCACTCTCCATAATTTTCATCGTTCTGAAACGAATGATTATTGATTAACCCTTTAATATTTTAGAATAATTATTTTTAGAAATCATTGAATATTCACCATTTATGTTTATATCTAAAAGGGCTACTGTTTTCACGGCTTAAGACTTCTGTGAACAATCAATTTAAATAAGGATTTTGTGAAAAGTCACATGAGTCATGTCAATACCAACATTAGAATTACTCGTAATATTCATGAAGAGTTCTGGTTAATACTGCATTCGATATAAAATAAAATAAAACCAAGTACGAACAATCCAAACCATAAGACAGAATTCGAAGTCCTAAAAAACGTTATAGGCAAAATAGTGTATTCAAGCAAAATAGTGTAATCAGCAAATGGACTGCTCCTCGTGTACAAAATACACGACAAACAGTGGTAACAGGTGTCCGGAAGAGTAAGCTTACCCTGCCTGGCGCCACACCCGCCATAGCTGCATCCAAACTATTAGGCGAAATGTCGGTAAAATAGCGTGATTGGCCAATGAACTATCGGTATGCAAAATGCACGCGATGAACTGTGTTAACGATGTAGTAGACATTATCAGGGAGATAGTAATAGTATACGTGTCAATTAAATATATCTAGAATAATAGCCGAGAGAGACACGTTATATTTATCAATTAAATCAATATGACGGCCATAAAACTTTTTAAAGGGTTTAGTGCGCAAGTATTCTTGTAGTTGAAGCTTAGATGACAAATGCCTCGATCTACTTAAAAAATCAGAATAAAAGGAACAAGCTCTCGCGTAACGATTTTAGCTGAGACACAAACGCTTCATAAGCTGGTGATATTGGAATGTTACTACTAATAAATGGAAAGTTAACATCGCAATTACGAGCTTTGGATTTGACAATATTATACAGGTCAACTTACAAACTCTGAAAGTATTTTGCCATTCAGGGTTGCAATTAGAACAAGTACGAGCGTACTGTATGGACCACGGGCCGAGCATGACGTCATCTCCGCCATCTTGGAATTGTGAAGTCATTTCAACCATCTCTGACCAATTGTCTAAGGAACAAACATGTTAAGTTCCATGGTAATCGTACCCGAATTGCAGGAGTCTCGGGCATTTTTTACCAATAGGTTCAAGACTTGTAATTAACTTAAGCATGATCTAAATGGAACGCAGCATAAATTAAAAGTACTCTTCTGAAATCCTAGTCTGGTCGTATGTTCTGTATGTGACGTTTATTGTGACTGTTATCTTTGTAAAGTCAATATAAAGGAAAATGCTGTGAAAAAAACTTACTCGTCCGAGAAATGCTGTAAGTATGGTGAATTATTTTGTAATGCGAATGCATAGTTCATTGGAAAGAAAAGTTCTTTCAAGTAAGTCAAATCACAAGATTGGAAAACCCAAGTCTCTGCTGTCGTTTTATCCGCTATAAAACCATAGTTTTCATCCATAATTTTTTGTCTTTGGTGGCCTTGATCTATATGTAGAACGTCTGGATCGGTTTTGTTGAATTCTACGATACCCTGCCATAACCGTTTATAATCAGTCAAGTTGGAATTCTACATAAAAAATAATCTTAGTAGATGAAAAGATTCTAAGAGACTACCAGTTTAATATATCACATACATCATGTTCATCAATTAAAAAGAAATATCACATGCATCATATATATCAAATAAAAACAAATATCACTTAAAAACCTTGTACAACAAATAAAAAACAAATATCACATACATCATGTACAGCAACTGAAAAAATATCACATACATCATGTGTATCAATTTACAATTAAAAAAAAATATCACATGCATCATTTATATCAAATAAAAACAAAAATCACTTAACAGCATTGTACATCAATTGCAAAACTAATGTCAGAGACAAGGTGTACGTGAATGTCAATTAAAAAAAAGTATCACAGAAAACATCAATCTAAAAACAAATATCACACACTACATGTACATCGATTAATAAATCACAGACAGTATGCACATCAATAACCAATGCGAAAGAAACATTAGGAAAACTAACCTCTAATAACGATACCCAGACACTGCCTTGTAATGTTCCCCATTTGTATTCGTTTTGTTTCCCGAGTTCGGCCAGTGTCTCGAAGGGAAGTTTCTCTTTAGATACTGTAAGGAATGCTATAAGATTACCACTGTAAGTAGCTACTGATATTAAACAAAATATCCACCATCCTGCCAATAATGCTCGTCCAGAACTGGACGAAGAAAACCCAGTTCCCCCTAAAATAATGTAATAGTAAATTAATTAACAACTGATACTATCATATATAAAGTGTTATCATATGATATTGGTAATTAATGTAAGTTTATAACTTGGCATGCAACATTGAACCGATTATGTAGATACTGCGTTGCGTTTCTCACTAACGCTACATTGCAATGCGTTTCTTCTACACGATACATTGCAATCCGATTTCTGAGAGTAGATATATCGCAATATTTTAAATTATAACATGTTTTTTCAAATAATACTTTATAATTTAATTGTCAAAATCGCGCACACTGCAGCTGAATGAACACCGTCATTTGACCTAGAACAATTTTATACCAATAATTAATTATTTGCAGCAATACTTAGGTGGGTTTTAATCGGGGTTCCAGTCCACAGGAAGTGCCTCTCTTAGATCGAGCTACTTCCTTTGAGTAGATTTGAACCATAGCCAACAAGGCGAAATAATTGTTAAATCTGGTTGGAATACAGCAAAGAATTTGAAATTATCTCAATATGCCCCTTTAATATTCGTCCCTTCATTAGAAAATCTGATTAAAACATGGATTTTATTTTGTTTCGTTTTTTAAATTTCAAAATTTCGTTTTACTTGTCTTTACGACACCAGGATCTGGAAGAGTTGTTATATTACCGGCGATTTGGTTGAAGTGAGGATAAGCCAATGGAACAGTATGTTACGGCGACTTCTTGGCGTGTCATACACGGAACTGTGTGTAAACCACTAGAAACGCCAACGCTGATTGACAAATCAATGTCTGGCGTCATAAGGTCAAAAGCCGCTCGTACAATCCCTGACACGACCTTCAAGTACAACTTGTCAGATCTTCATGTAGTGTAGGTCATCGAAAGTATATAAAAACGAAACGAAATATAGATCTGTATTTTAATCAGATTGTTCATTAGATTTTATGAAGCGGTTTTATATATGCTGATAAAGCTTGTCATCACATCCTGTATTTATTATATAAATTTTGTAAATTTAAATGAATAAAATATTGTTTGAATAAATAGCTTTGCGAATACGTATCATCATAGTAACAAGGGTTGTTAATATTCAAAACACGATTTTGGTAAGGGAGATAAAATTCATGAAAAATGTCTAAATTTTCGTCTGTCCTAGTAATTTTATTTGCATTTAATTACCCAAACCAAGGAATAATTTTTTTTAACTTTAAGACATTTTACCTTGGAATAACATGGCTCCAAATAGATAAAGCACGATTCCTTGAAATGTTGGTCTGGGTTTTTTCGATTTAAGGTAGAAAGGATTGAGGCTTTCTATTGTGTAGAGAAGTAAAATAGTTCCACAAAATGATGAAAATAAACAAACATGAACTTCCCATTGATACGGTTCAATGAGTTTCCTCCATTTGTTTTTGTTTGGATCAGGCAGTCGGAAAACCACGGCTGAATAGGCAAGAAAATATGGATAGGTAAAATCAATTGCTTGTTCACGATCTGCGGAAATAGCTAATGGTCCCACAAACATGTCGACTTCCTGCAGAAGAAAAAAAAACGCCATCTGATAATTCTTTTCAGAGATACAATGGAAAATTTCAGTAAACACACAAATATGGTATGGAAAATTTAAGTAAATACATAAATATACTATGGAAAGAGAGCATGGACAAAATGAATGCCTTGCACAAATTCTTGTACTACATAATACTGGAAATGAATCTAGTAATAATTTATAGTGTACAGTATACTGATTAGTGAATATATATTTAGGAATTTGGAAATTTCATTTGTTAAACAAATGAAACGCATATAATAAGATTTAGCTATTTCAGATTTTACAAACTAGCTGACTATCTGCGTAAATTGTGACAAAAATCGACATTGTAAATACAATATTACCCGTCGGTGAAGTTCCCCAACTACACCTCGCCATGATCCATTCAGAACTCGCCCCCATTCTCCATCTTCCGGTTCCGTTATATTCATACTAAAACAGAATAGTAAAACGTTAAACCCCATTTCATTTCATTTCAAATAACAATGTAGTTTGAATGTATATAAACTGATATAACATTCCATCGTTTGTGTTTTTACAATAATTTCTAATCAGTTGTGTTCGGCGAAATACGCCAGAAGTCTCAATCGAATGGCAATCTCTAGCGTCTGGTTATTCCAGTCTACATCGATAGTATTTATTGCGCGTGCTCTCCAGATAAGAATATGGTGTCACCGTTTCACATGACTTGTGGAATATGTCTAACCTCGTTCTTCGAGACCCTTGTTACAAATGGCGCCGAAACGCATTATGGTACACGATTCGTGTACCAATGGTAAAATGTTTATTTTGTCTTAAATATTGGATATCAGAAGCCCGTTAAGATCACAACATCAATGTTGATTTAAATTGACAAATAATTCGTGTTTTCACTGTCGAAGATTTTAGATGATATTAAGTTAGAGACTTATAGCTACTTTAAACTCAATATCATCCAAAGTCTTACATGTTGAAAAATAAGAATTATTTGTCAATTCAAATCAACATTGATGTTGCGATCTTGTCAGTAAAAGGTAGGCTTCTGATATCCAAAATTTTAGACAAAATAAACATTTTAGCATTGGTACACGAATCGTGTACCATATAGCGTTTCAGTAACATTTGTAACAAGTTTCCAGAAAGAACGAGGCTAGACATATTCTACAACTTATGTCAAACGGTGACGACATATCTTATCTAGAGAGCATGCGCAATAGACTGGAATAACCAGACGCTAGAAATTGCTATTCGGTTGAGACTCATGCCGAATTTCGCTGGACATAACTGATTTGAAATTAGAGTCAAAACGGAAACAATTGAATGTAAATCAGTTTATATACAATCAGATTACATTATTATAATGCGTTGCGACCCATTTGGGTCAATTTCTAGGTCCCAAATATTAGCGATTTAGCTCCTTTAACATAAAATAAAATAACCATACTTACCTAAAATTTAGAGAATTTTGAAGAACCTTCATTATATCATAAGAAAATCCCCCATACTGTACTGTTCCGTTAACTTCTGGTAATCGTGTCGAGAACGGGTACCACTAGAAATTATGATCATTGAGTGGCATTCAACAATTAAGCACATTAAAAAAAACACAACTCAATCGCTAAATGCCACTTAAGAATTATATTCTTCATCAATATGGAGATAAGGCGGTTATAAACCTGTGATTGTTTTCTATTTAAATTAGATTGTGTTTTTTTATATTAGTTGCAACAATACTAAATACACGTATTTCCGTAAGATTAAGAGAAATTTGAAGAACCTACATGATAATATCGGGTACCACTAGAAATATGTAAATTTAAATAATTAATCACAACCGTTCTTACGGCATTTAACATGGACATAATTCTATAGTCGTCACCTCTGGTCGTCTGTGCGTCACGAGGGTGACTGTTATCACTTCTGGGTGTTATAGATTTATGACCTATATATCAAAATCGTATGAACATATTACATGCTTCAATGAAATTATTTTGAACATAGTTCAGATAAAACTTGCTAGACGAACATTCTAATTGTAATTAAGTGTTATCTGATGTTCAAAACCTTGCATCACAATCATCTATAACTTACAAAATTCGTTGTAGCTCTGAACACTCTACCATTAAACCCATACTTTGTATTAGGAAATATAATAACATTAGGAGATAGATTAACGTTTTCTGTATAATTAACATGACCAACTGGACTTAACAATCGTCCTTCTGTTTTATATAATAATGTATATATTTCTGCTCTCCAACAATCACTATACGTTGTTAGATCCTGGAATAAAATTACAAGCTCTGGTACAATATACTAAATCATAGAGTAATGTAATGTAAAGAGTCGGGAAATTAAAGCATGTTTCAAAATTTTCAAATTCTGACAAATTTAAAATCAAATAGAAACGTAGAAAAGCTAAAAAAGTCAAAGGCAGTATTTAATGACCCAGGGGATCACGGTGGCTAAGTGGGTAAGACGCTGGCTCGCTAACCTGGAGGTCGGGTGTTCGATTCCTGCATTGGCCGAGAAAGTTCATCCAGATTTTCCAGCGTGGTTTCCCCTTGTCAGTGATGCAGGTCGGAGGTCCTGACAATGACAGCTGTCTAGTTGTGTACACATTGGCGTTGCACGTAAAAGATCCCTTGACAGTTGGAATTCGATATAAGAGTAGGCCGTAGTGCCGCAGCCCGGGGAAAATGTCCCTCATAGCACACTGTATGGCGTATTAGCCCAGTTTAGGAGCATAACAGTGGGACGTTAAACCCCATTTCATTTCATTTAATGATACATCTCTATGGATACAATAACGGTTCCCTTTGAGAATACCGGGTCCACATACCACCAGACCTTCGTGCTAAGCAAACGCTTTATCGTGTGACCATAGCAGTATTAATCCAGTGGAAACGTGTTTCCCTTTAAACATAGCAGACACTATTTTAATGGAAACATAGTACACGTTTTTCATGACGGCAAAGAAGACTTTGACCAAATGGTACCACGTCCCTGGGTAAGCGCAGTGGAACTTATATCCATAAAATGAGTTACCACAGGAGCATGGCTTAGGAACTTTGATTAAAAGTCGTTCCTGATGATCATTTTCAAACAATGGAAATCTATTTTCTGCATAGTTTTGATGAATATTCACGTAAGGCATTATGACAAGCGGCTAAACAAACATGCACCGCATACGTATTAAAACAGTACCCGTGGATAGGCCACATAGTTAAGAGATAAAACATTATCTATACTACATACCTTCACCAGGGCGTCATAAACTAGAGCAGGTATGGTATCAATGCCATCATCTGTTGTCGTATCTTCGGTAGCGTCTTCTGCATCAATTACATGATAAACGCTATCTTTTATACTGTTTACAAATACCTGATATATAAAAATAGATGAAAAATCATCTTCTTAATTTCCCAGGCGTGTATTGTGATTGACGGCATTCCAATCCAAAATACACCATATTAATATAA